CGTGCGTGCGTGCGTGCGTGCGTGCGTGCGTGCGTGCGTGCGTGCGTGTGTGTGTGTGTGTGTGTGTGTGTGTGTGTTGAATGAACAGGGTATGCCCCTATACGACGACACCCACGACATCATAATATATAATATATAATGAGAAGTTACCCCGACATCATCACACGTGCGTGTGCCGTATTCTATTCTACGTTGTTTTCGCCACCGGGCATGCTGAAAAGGATAATATTCTTCTTTACCTTTTACTGACTCGCTTCAGATAAGCACGCGCGTAGAGTGGTGATGAATGTAGCGTTTACATACATTATATACACAGCGTGTGGATTTGCACCCCCTTCACGAGGAATATATAAGGGTTCCTTTATTCATCGACGGAGTGATAGTACGCGGCAAAACGCGCCCAAGTCAAGTGATATTTACCATAAAGCTGCGCTCACGAGCAACTCCCACCTAGACGGACACCAAGCGTTCGCGCGGCCCACCCGCTACGTTGACACTCGGCGATGTTCGGTGCCAGTCTAACGGAGATAATGCAATAATGGCGGAAGCTGAAGGCGTCCATGTTGGTTATCCGGCAGCCAGTGCTGCTGCTGCTGGTGGTGGTGGTGGTGGTGTGTGGGTGGGGGGGGGGCCGTGGTAATGGATTAACGTCGAACTAACCCATGCGTTCCGAACGCTAAATGAATGAATTGGTGAATTGGAGGTTAAAAAATGAGTCGAATTATCACGCGAGCATTGCAACGGTTTCGCTGGCTGAGTTTCGGGAGGAGATGGGCGGTGTTTGAATGTTTTTTTGCGAACGATGGCTCATGGTGTGTCAGGATCGCATTTCGTCTACATACCAACGACCTTTAAAACACGAAGGTCACAACAATAACGGGTTGTTGCTGCGATGAAAAACCGCTTTACAATGCGCGTAGCAGCTACACACGCATACTATCAAGAGCGTATAAAGAAGGTATACGCTCTTGATACTATAGATTTCTTTAGATTTTTTTAGTTTGGTCAATAAACCGATGCAGTGTTCGCATTATTCAGTCACATCGGCGGTGGTGCATATACTTACCAGGCGTGTTATAACATAGTCTATATATAATCTATTAGCCGGGTACCCGGCGTTGCTCGGGAAAAAGCGCGTATAGGAACAACTTTTAGAGCAAATTCTGCCACATATATTTACTTAATTCTACGGATAGAGTCGTAACGGAGAAACAAAATATGAAGGGGTAAACAATATTCTGACAAAAGAGGTTCGAACGATTCTATGATTCTGTGTAGTGAGAGCTTCTGGATATACAACATTATACTCTCCTGTACTTACTGCATACTCACCCAGTGCTGTCACGTCTGCTATACGGACGGGAAACGTGGGCGTAGGGAGGAGTAATTGCAGACGAAATGGCATCGAGAAAAAAACCATGGTCCATAAAACTCTGGCGTTGTCGTGTATTTTCCGATCTCGTTAGTGTGGATATCTTATAGCTAGTGTATACGCTCGTGTGTTCGGCCCTCTGACCATGATCACCAACGATAAACGCATGTGCTTACGAACGCACCGCTTAACAACGTAGAAACGCAGTTAGTAAAACGCAATATATACGCAGAAGATGGATTCCCGCCGCGAAGAAGCGGTAACCGGTGATAAATAAAATAACAAGGCGCGGGGTGGCTCCCTCTATGTGAACCCTACTGCAACATTTTGCGATGCACAATGGTGGGTTTTATCTCCGGGGGCGTGTTTGCGCAGATGAAGTTCATTCGCCTTCGCGGTATACAGTTAAAGTTTTGCGAGACTCTGAATCAATGTTTGCAACCAAAGAGATAATCAAACAAAGCGACACAACGCGTATATGTACGTTCCACAGTTTAAAGAAACTGCCATTTCTTGACTCCGCGTTCTTAGACACATTGCGAAAGTGTATGCGCTCCTTTTTTCTTTCTTAAGTATTAACAAGTAAGCGAATAGCGTAATGAATTGAAACATTTTACGGTTTGACGTCAGAAAGTGTTTCGGTATCTGGCATGCAGCAAAGTGTGCTTAACAACGCCAACGGTGTTTCACAAAACTTGCTAATATAATACGTAAATTGATTATGAATTTCACAATGACGTGCGAGCGTTTGCGTTGCTGCTGTAGTCTCCTGATCAGCCGCTGTTTTATTCACGAATATATTTATTTTAAAGCTGCGCTATAAAGTCAGAAAATACGAGAGAACTTAAAATATGGATATTCCGTGTTTAAGGATAGCTCATGTAGATAGCAATGTTACGCGAATTTCCCGTCTATTGTTATGATAAGGGAGGTTAATAAACGCGTTCCCTCGTCGGCAAGTGCAATAGCGTCTCAGGCTGTATTTTACAGTGTAATGAGAGACAATTACCATGTTTACGGCGTATCATTTATTACTGAATAAGGTTAGCTGCGCGTTGGGTATATCGCCTGATGGTAAACTGCGAATGTAACCGAGAGAGCGCAGTTCAAAAGTTTAGCGTAGGATGAAAGGCAAGCGAACGTCTTGAATCAGTTGGCATGGCGTGTATATTTGTGACGTGTCTGTTACAATCAGTTAGCTTTATGTCAACAGACCGGTAGTTGACAAGTTGTGCCTTGGTTAGCTTAAAGAATTGATATTGTATTAGCAATATCTCGCAGCAATAAGAATGCCACCGTTGCGCTATTTAAAAAAATATAATTGTGGCTGATAAAATTAGATGTAGACTAGTATGTGATAGTGATACATATTATTATCTTAATCACTTAATGTGCATCGTAATATCGTTCAGCGAAATGAAATTCGTCTATACTGTAATAATAATTATCAATTGCGAAGTAATAACGCTTGAATTTAACACCAACGTAGCGTGAACAATTACTTAATCTTCTTTATTCCAACATACAAAGGTTGCGCTGCATCAAAAAACACCATTGTTTTGTTAATGTCATAACATGTTCATGCCATAATTATTATATGTATAAAGCGTATATACGCATATTATATATATACGCATATTAACGCCATTGTTATAGGGACGTTATTGTCACTGACTGCTTAACCAGCCGTGCACCAATCACGCGTCGTATAGTAACAGAAATATATCCTTTATAAGCATGGCTTCGTTCTCCTGTGAGTTAAATCAACACCGTAATTATTTTCTCGCAACTAGGAATTGAAGCGTCGGCGTATATAGTGTCCGTAATATTGTCATTATAGTTATTGATTTAATGGTCGTACATTTGTAAAGGTGAGAGCTCGAGTTGAAAGCAAACGCCTCGTCGACAGTGAAAAGTCGATATTTTATCTCGTCGTCACCTCTCAGACACGTTGCTAGTTAATTTCTTTATAACGCTGTTGCATCGTATGATGGCATACATCCTTCTTCCTCGCGGCGCTGTATCGTGTTGTATTGTACTGTAACGTGCTGTGTCGTACAATATTATAATTTACTGTGCTGTATCGTTTAGTATCGATTAGTAACGATTGCATATCGACAAATTTCGGCATCTATTCCATTAATTCAGCCATACGAGTTTTTTTCTTCATCTATTCACGTTTCCCCCGTTTTTTTCTTCATCTATACACGTTTCTCTTGTTTCTCTTTCGTGCAGGTACCATGATGCGGACCACGCCAACTTGATGAACTCCATGTGGATGATAGCCATCACGTTTTTATCTATCGGTTACGGTGACATCGTTCCAAACACGATATGCGGCAGGGGCATTGCCGTCTGCACGGGTATAATGGTGAGTTTATACGCTCCATACACCAGGTAAAGTTGTTATTGCGAGATTTTTTCTCAGAAACGCTCTGAAAAGAATCTGAAAAAAATATAGCGAAATATAGTGTCACTTCACAGCGGATATATCCGCTACACAGCTACCAGTCAAGCAATACGTGTAACATTTTTTAAATACATCAATCGCTAGAGCAAAAAGAAACGCCATTTTTTTTGTAGACAGACAATGTGCGGAGAAATAACACGATATTTTAGCGGTGGGGGATTTTTTTACAACGCGTAATCTAGACCGTATTAAAGGATTTATTTTGAAATCATTGCTCCAAAACGATCAATCTGAAAAAAATATAGCGAAATATAGTTTCACCTCACAGCGGATATATCACTGATTACACTAACTTGAAAAACACTTAGATTTTGTGCAGCTATAGCATAGAAATTGGAATTATGAACACATCGTAACACACTGAAATTTTATCGTGCCGGGACACCGTCAAAATGTGTCAACTTGTAATTTGTCGGTGCAAACGAGATTGTGCGAGAGACGTGTAAGTCTATGGACGATAGCTGGCGTTAGTCGCGCTACTAACTGGTCTAATATCACAAGAAAAGGCTCGCTGGTAATCGAACTTGCATGTTAAATTACTGCCCAGCACAGCGCACAGCGTCGGTAACGGTGCAGTCACGAAGCAACCGACGTCGTCGTCGCGTCTTTGTCAGGCGTGTCACGCGTCGTCGCTGTCGTCGTCGTCGTCGTCGTCGCCGCCGTCATCGTCGTCGTCGTCGTTGTCGTCGGCGGCGGTCAACCCCGCGGCGTTTTAATCGTCGTCAGACGCCGAGACCGATATACGAGAAATAAGAATCTCGCAAGATGCCGCCACCGTCGACGGAGAACACCGCGGCTGATGATGAGAATATCGAATTAAGGATTAATCAATTACGGATCGTGAAGAATTCTTCGTCGGCTGCCCTAATTTCATGCGAGCGCCCCGCCCCTGGCGTCCGACGTTCCGGCCATCGGTCGATCCGCCGACGATATTAAGCCCGAGTTTAAACGTGAAATGATGATGATGCGATGCAATATGCATGAGCCATTTATTTGCAACGCACGTGGCGAACCATTCACCCACCCCACCCCCTACAAACCCCGAAAAAAATTCAACCCCCGGATTCGCTAATGATTTTCTTCGATCTTCTTTGTCGTTTTCTCTTGTTGCAAAGAGTTCGCGAAATACGTCGCGAGAATCGACCACGACGTCGGCTCCGTCATATTTCAGCGCCGACGCCGCGGCAACCGGTCGGCCGATCACTGAATTGTCAAACGCATGGCGACACGACGACGACAATCGCGACAATTCTATGCAAATCACACGCATGCGCAGACGCGCGCCTGCAGACGCGTGTCCGTTACAGAAGACGACGACGTCACGCCGATTTTATCATTCGACGCGAATATGTTTTGATGACTGATGTATTTCGTCTGTCGTCGCAGTAGCTCGTCCCATCGATTTATTAATGTGCGTCGTATGTGTTTTTTTTTTGCACGATTGATATATGGTTATCGAGTTAGGGAAATCCGTTTTCTGCGTGACATGACGTCACTTGGCATCGTGATGATTGATTGCGTTGAATGAATGACTGTGAATGGCGGGTGGCATCCCAGCATGTGTAGTCGTTTGTGCGGTGAAATATCATCGGTGATATACGGTCGATTTCTGTAGGGTTAGCGAATGCGTATTTTTCTCACTAATTGCGATCGAGTGTGAGTGCGTGTCGGTATTGATCAGTGAGCGTATGTATGAACTGTTGCGATTCAAATTTATATATTATGTGAAATACATCATTCATGCTTCAGATTTAGATTAGAATGCAAACGTGTAAGTCTATGGACGATAGCTGGCGTTAGTCGCGCTACTAACTGGTCTAATATCACAAGAAAAGGCTCGCTGGTAATCGAACTTGCATGTTGTTGGTGAATGCGAAGGTTCTAGTAATACATTTTATCGTTACTCCAAACAGTTGCTGTTACTCAAGCAATAACGGTAGGTAATTAAACTGAGGGGGGGGGGTTCATAAAAGTGGGGAAACACTGGATAAGTATCAAAAATATGGCTTTAACGTTACCAGTTACCTCATAGCAAAAATATCAGTTAACCCGAACCATGTGCGAAACAACATTGCTATACTGTAGCCTGCTTGTTTTTCGAGCCACACTGTAAGCGAAATAGACTATATAGATATAACGGAGAGTTCACACAGCACCCGAACCGTACGCGAAACAACATTGCTATACTGTAGCCTGCTTGTTTTTCGAACCATACTGTAAGCAAAATAGACTAGGTTTTTTTCTTGGAATGTCGCCTCGACGGCTGCTATTGAAAGGAAAACGGATACATTGCTATATCTGGCCACCACTGATTAGGGGGAATTAATCGCTTTCACGCTTTCCGTCAAAAGGTTTTGCTTTTATCTTTGGCAATTTCCAATCCGGAATCAAAGCCAGCATGTATTCTAGCGATGCCGATACCACACTTGATAGTATGCCGACAGGTTGTCCCTCTAGCGGGAAGCTGTAGCAACATATTCAGCGCAGGCTAACGAAACCACTCGGTCTCAGTATTAAGACGATAGCGCCATCTGTTGGCGTCATTCGACGTTAAAACGTCCACCAAGGTAACAGCTGCGCCAACTCTCAGTGAAGACAATAGTATCACTTCCAAAATATCACGTAATGGGAATTTTCTCCGCGCTCTCTCTCTTATTTGAGCGTAAGAACCCTTTGCACGCCACTCGGTGTGGGAGAGGATATCGACCAGTAGACGATGCGAGAGGGATGACAGAGAACAGGGTGCGGCGAAAGCGCGGGATAACATGACTGCATATAATGACACACGGATAGACGGAACGCGGACTCGCTGACGCCCGAGATGAGCCGCAATCGATCCACTGATTCGTCCGCAATGACCTACACGAGGAAAATCCGTAGACCGACTGTTATGCCGACTGTCGGCCTTCGTGCCACATTATCAAAAAACACAGTAGTGTCTGTGCGAATGATTATCAGTCAGCAGAACTTTATATTGTTCGAGAAATTTAAATTCAAAATTTTAAATCAATTCGCAGAATAACAAATCAATTTATTAACTTGCAAATTAATTAACAACTTTCCAAAATAATTGCCTGATATACAAATTCCTTCACATCATTGTAAAAATTCATTTTCTAAACGTACAATTTATTTTCAAAACAACAAACCAATTTACTAAGTTGCAATTTAATTGAGAACTTGTTACATAAACTCACAAATGTTCAAATCTTGCTTCATGACCCTAACAATTGAAATTATAAGTTTTTAATTAATTTACAGAATAACGAATCAGTTCAGTAAGTTTGAAATTAATTTATTACTTTTAACATTAATCACCAGAAATGCGAATCTAACTGTTGGTTTCAGAATTATTAGGTAACAAACGACAAATGTATAGCTTAAATTACAAATTAATCATACAGCTTTCAAAACATATATAAATGTTTACAATCAAAGAGCTCATTTAACAATCAATTTATGCAACTTCCAATCTATTCAAGACTTCTAAAATCACTTACTAACGTTTACAATTTGCCGCCCACTCTGTGGTTTCCGGTCCGTGTGCAAAACTGTTCAGGAAACTTCGAATCAATTCATAGGACTTGATAGTTATTCTGTGAATTGATTTTAAATTTTGAATGTAAATATATTGAACAATATAAAGTAATTTGTATTTTTATTAATTAATTTGAAATGTTTTAAATTGATTTAAAATTGTGTATTTGAAATGTTTGAAAATGGTTTTTGAAGGGGATGGCTTTCCATAGCCATGGGTGTGTTATTATGAATATTAAACGAGCGTGGTTTATACAATGTGCATCGAGTTTATACTGGAGTTGTTAAGCCCGTCTCCTTAGCGACTGGATTTTAAACTACCTAATAATAATCCATTCAGGAAATGTTTGCACACATACACGCGCCCCCGCACCACAGGCACTTGGAGCGTTTCAATAAAATATAATGCTAAAAAATACGAAATCTATTTACTACCAAAGTCTTAATGTTTCTCTACTCTCTTTCACCTATTATTGCCGACAATTTCCTGTAAATACCGTCTAAATGCTCATCTGCAACACACTGTCACACGCTGGCCGCCGCACGCTAGCGGCTGCACACTGACACATAAATATATATATATATATCTATATATTTATGTGTCAGACCCGCGCGCGCGCACGGCGCGCAACCGGCACACACGACACCACCGCGCACACACGGCGACACCACATACACACAGCAGCGCAGCGGCAACGACACACGCAACGCCACACAGAGCAGCACTGCACGCACACACATACAAACACACGCACGACCACACACAACACACATCGCCGCACTAGCACGGCAGCGCGAAACGTACGGACAAAGTCTGTTTACATTGGCGGAAAGCCAGCATTAATAGTATCATTATATCGATTAGAACAAAATTATTTCGTCTGCAGCAACAAAATCCAATGCATAATATTTGTCGATGGTCTGATTTGTGATATATAATCCGTCGCGAGATGCTGTGTGTACAGGGGTGTGAAATTTGTAGACTTAAGTCCATATTTCTGTTCAAGGCAAATTCATGGTCAACCGTTGGTTTATTGCCGTTAAAGTGAACACATTACCATCATGCAAGATTTTTACGCTGTCAAGGATTACATATATAGGCACCCACAAGATAAACCAAAAGATTAAATAACATTCAGGCTAAAACTATGAGCGTGAGAAAATGCTTCGAAATTGGGCCTCAAGTATAAACCGCGCAGGGCACATGCCACTCTTCGACGACCTAATTAACGCTTATGTGGGCATTACAACTCTCCTAAAATCATATCATATACTACTAATAGTATATATAAATATATATATTATACAGACCAATTTCTGATATCTTATTATGCAAACTCAGGTTCGCTTCGCCTGAATTATAATATATTTATAACGTCATAGATCGATCAGGTATCACGCCGGGGCATTGTCAGATTACAATCAATCGAGATTCCATTTAACTGCCAGATACCCTCATTGGAGGTCTGTATATTTAAATTCCGCAAATGTAAACCCAACCGCATAAGCAATCACGGTGCTAAAAACTACGATCAGGTTACTTCTCGGCGTGTTTTATCTAAGTGAGAGCGACGGAGGCTTTCAACCCCCGAAAACTATATATCGGGTTAAGACAAAAATCCCACGTTCCCGAGGGGTTCCTAAGTCGTTAATTCCCTGGGAATTAAAAAGATGGAATGAGTTTTAGTGAGGAATATAAGCTATATCAGTTGTTCAGTCGCTAATTAAACACACTCGCTGGGGCGCGGTGGCGGCGATGCGCTGGCGATGGCCTCAGCGTCGCTGCAATCTAGTATAGTCCTCAAGGGAACACGACGGACAAGAAGCACCGCACAGCACAAGCACCGGGCAGCGCGACGCACGCGCGCACGGGTACGCACACGCCGGGCAGCACACCATAACACAACAGCACGCACCGCGGCGGCGCGGGTCACAAGGCACATTACAGCGCGTTTAACAACAGCGCACGACGCACAACCAGCGCCTCATGAAACAGCCGGTGCGCCCACGTCCGAACTAATACGGGGGGCGTGCGGCTTGCGGTCGGCGCTCGCCCGCCCGGGGACCGATCGAAAAACGGCGCGGCACACCACGGGCAGCGCCGCACACACTTGCGCGGACACAAGC